CCCACATGCCCTTCTCGACTCACGTTGCCCTTCCGAAGGGGAATAAATAAATAAATAAATTGTACAATGGATGCAGAATTTCACGTAGGCCTAGATAAAAAAAAAAAATCGCAAAGCCTCATTCACTTCCATTTGGGCACCGAAAGTGAAAGTCAGGGCAAACTCTGTTTACATGGCTGAGGCGCTGCACGCGACCGGTATAGCAGTCGATTCTGTTCCCTACCGGAATTCCTGTTCCCTTTACGTCATACTACAAATCATGCGTAGTTGCCCAGTTACCATACGTACCATCAGAACCTGAATACGAGCAAGAAGCACAACTGAATGTACGGGAAGCCAAAAGGTTAAAAAAGGATTGTATTTTTTCCCGAAATCTATGCGTGTTTTTTATTTTTATTAGAAGCGTGTTTTTCCCCATCTGTCAATTCAATACAGATTATTTATTTTCCAATTTAAAAATAAATAAATAATAATAATTTAAAAAAACACAATAATATGAGGAACTCTTTTTCTCATGTGTATTTTGGTGACATTTAACATATTGTTAATACATTGTGTATACTGTTTACAAAGTTGTATATCATAAACCTGTCATCTCTGACGTTTTGCAATCTTTATAAATAATAATAAGACCATAATATGAGGCATTGAGTTTGGACGTAAACACGGTCAGATAAGGCAATTTGTACGGGAAAAATTCAACTGAATATATTCAGATATATTACAAAAACTATGAACAAGTGCAAGATTAATTCAATTTACAGAAATATTACTGGAGTGTGAGAACCATTTTATTATGCTGTGTTATTATTAGTAGTAATTAAGGTGATTGAGTGCTGTATTTCAGTTTTTTACTTCTTTGTGTATATATATATTTTAATAAAGACCCTGTTATTCTCAGTCCTTCATATAGCCCGTGAGTTGTTTTTTTTTGGATGGGTGCCCTTTTTTCAGGTTATAGCAACTGCCCCTCAAAATTCCTCTGCACGTCCCTGCACGGGTGATTCCAAATCTTACTCTCCTACACATTATACATTATTTACTGTGCATATTTGTGCATATTTGGGTCGCACATAAATTGTCAGAGTCGGTCAGAAACCGGAACCAAACAAATTTTTAATGCCTAATATATATCAAACATTAAAGGTAAGAACAGTACAACAATAACAGTAAACACAGTAACAGTTTGAGAAGGTACAAGGGTGGATAAGTGTTAAGAGAATTATTTCAAGTATTTCTTTCATCCCCCTTACATGAACAAGGTACTACATGGTGTTGAAAGTTGGCGACTGTAGAATACCTTCGGTCATGTAGGTTCTAAAAGATTCGTAGGTACTTGAAGTCTGAGAACAATAAGGCATGTGTTGGCCTCTGGAAATATTCTGGTGTCTTGACCAAATGTAAGAAGAAATGAGATTTTTGGCTCATGGGGGAATCCTAGAAGTGACACAGATGAGGCTCCAGAAGCAAACTCCAGCACCATTTCCAGTGTCAACGGATCGCAGTCATCTTCTGTAGTCACACAAATACAGACAGACACACAAAGAAGCAGAATAAGGTTTAAATTGAATATCAGATTTTTCAAGCCAACTAATTTTTTTTATTGGAAAGAAATGTAACTTCACAAAATTTTGTCACTCAAAACCACATTAAATGCAAATAAATTTTTTACCACAAAGTGGTTGTAATGTTCAAATGATAAAGCATTAAAAACCCTACCTTCTACGTCAATTAACCAGTCTCTCCAGAAAGAGATGGTCTTATTTTCCTAGCTGCCTTTTATTACTGCCAAGGGGTGAGAAGTCCACTTCGAAAAGAGTTGTCAGATCTTTTGCCTCCAGTGGTCTCACCGCATTGACAACAGGTCGTCAACGATTTCAGCATGATTGTTTAGCTTGTCCATCAGACCAAAAGTTTTGACACCCTCTTCAAATCTGTCACAGGACCTTTAGTCGTACTGAGATTTTAGCCACAACCAAACTTTACATTTACTACATTTTTCCTTTGTAAGGCATTTACATGGTTCTCATGATGGATACTTGCTGTCTGAGAGCCAAATTTGTCTGCCCATTCACAAAGTATTCTGCTGCAGATTGGACCAGGGAATCTCTCTCTTCAAGTGATGAGATGTACCTAAGTACTCCCATCATGTCCAGACTGTCCCCAGCATCTGAGATAGCAGAATTAGCTTTTTGAAGAGAGTCTGCTTCTTTAATCTACAAGTAAATAATTTGAAAGTTATGCCATAACATCACAAAGCATCCATTGCAAAAGACAAAATAAATTATCCTTGCATAGATGAGACTGTTTAATGTACAAGTCCAAAGTTTATAATCACCTTTGAGAGTTTTTCTCTGAAGCAGCTGTCTGCTATTTCCTCAAGGGAGACGAGAAGTTTACATGTACCACAGAGTTGCATAAAGAGACGATCAGAAAAAAAACAAGGGCCAACTTCACCATGAATTATGCACACTATCATTTTTGCAATGGTCATGTACAAGCCATTCTCAAGTGCTAAAAAAAATACTATATATATACTATTTCAACAGCCTTCGAAATGAGAAGTAGTTCCAGAAGGCTACAACTTGCGAGCATAGTTGATGGTTTGGAAACGCACCCCTGGTCAAGACTATCTCTGGGAATCCACAACATGCCGATTTTTTGGGACTATTTTTTATTTGCACATTAATTACCAAATTCTTGACATAATAGGCTACATTTAATATTTATTATAATATTAGGCCTATTTCAAATTTCTCCAGCAACATAAAAACCAACATCAAATGTTAATGAGATTGAATGGGGAAAAAGCGTATTCATCCCAATGAGTATGAATGGTAGTAACTGAAAAAAGAAAGCTTTTCGAAACTCAAAAACATGTTTCGCAAAAGATATAATGTTAGGTCTAGACCTACCTGAATGTCGATTTCGAGACTCCTTGTAGCAGCAAGCAAATTCTTGTTCGATGATCTCTGCATAAGTTCCATTCTTGCTCTATACTTGCTGAACTTGTAGTTGAGGATCGCGGTGATGATGATAGTGATGAATAGGGTCATTTTGTATCACATGATTGCAGTTGTTTTACAGGGTAACTTTAACTTTAACTTTATTGTCCTTAAAGGCAATTCTTTGTGTAGACAGCAGTATACACATGCACATATAACAACACATATCACAACACAACACACAGATTACAATCAATCATTTAAAAACCTAATTACAGCAGGTATAAAGGAATTTCTGTATCTATTTGATTTACACAAGGGGAGTTTAAATCTCCGTCCTGAAGGAAGTAGTTGAAGTTCACTACATAATGGGTGAGTGACATCAGAAAAGACTAACTGGCCCTTCCTAATCATCCTATGCTCATAAATTTGTGTGATAGTCCTTAAATCAATCCCAACTATCTTGCTACATATTGTAACTATGCTTGTCAACTTCCTCCTATTCTTAACATTAAGATAATAATGAAGGGTAGCCTTCATTCTTTCTTTATGATGTGTTTCGGGCAACAAGTTAATAGGCTCGATGGATATTACCGGTAACTTGTATTGTTCAGCCCATGGCTGTCACATCATTTCGTTTCTTACTGCTGCCAATTATCTAAAGGGGGTTGCACACCGGACGAGAAGTGCAGCCGTGTCTATGACAACTCGAGGTATCGCACACCGGACGCGCACTTTGTCAGTTTATGGCCAGCAATATTGTTATGTTTAAGGACATTATGGAATTAAGATCATGTCTGTACTATGTTATGATTGTACTGGTCAATTAATTACAATCGTTGCTTAGTCTGCAGTCTGAACACACTTTACCTCAGAGCGTCCGTTAACTGAATGAATTGAGAATATCACCTGAAAATCCGATAACATCAGCAATTTTCATTCAACCAGCTGATTTCTGTAAATGACTGTAAAACTAAATGTATATTGCAGCACAGGGTGAAGTCAGTACATAACAACGATTTGAGACAAATACGTGTAAATTTAATATAAAACTATGTAAATGGCGCAGCAGGATTTTGAACAAGGTCCTGAGCCGTTGCCGTCGCTGCGCTTCTCGTCTGGTGTGCGACCCCCTTTAGACATACGGTAATATAGTAGGCTAATTCTTATATTAATTGATTTGTTAAACAATTCGAATTATAAATAAAACGTAATATAATGTGGTAACCTCTGACTGTCATGCTTTCCGTCTATCAGCCTATGCTATTTGGATCATTATCTCTAGGCCTACACTCAATGAACAACATCTCAACACTAAATTAAAGGCCTGTCTCATATAGACGCCCTTCTCAAATACAATTTGGGCGATTTGGGAAAATAAAAGCCCGGGCTATTATTTGAAGTTTTACGGTCACTTTGCAGGCGCCAAAAGTGAGAGCATCTGATGGGAAAACCCAAAAATCGTCAGCAGCAATTCAATTTTCACAAGTTAAAATGCTAGTTCTTGATATCAGAAATTAGATTTTTACTAGTAACGATGACCATTTTTGATATCAGCAAATACATTTCCATTAGTAAAAATGCGATTTCTTGATATCCAAAATGACCTCATCACTCGCAGAACTAAGAATTGTTAATATCAAGAATTGTATTTTCACTAGTGAAATGTCACCATAGGCTTCTATTCAAATTAAATTGTTGATATCAATAATTGATTTCTTACTAGTTGAAATTCCAATTTCACATATCAGAAATACAATACTTACTAGTAAAAACCTTTATTTTTGATATCAAGAATATTATAGTAAAAATATATATTCTACACTGAACAAAATTATAAACGCAACACGTTTGTTTTTGCCCCCATTTTTCATGAGCTGAACTCAAAGATCTAAGACTTTTTCTATGTACACAAAAGGCCTATTTCTCTCAAATATTGTTCACAAATCTGTCTAAATCTGTGTTAGTGAGCACTTCTCCTTTGCCGAGATAATCCATCCACCTCACAGGTGTGGCATATCAAGATGCTGATTAGACAGCATGATTGTTGCACAGGTGTGCCTTATGCTGGGTACACACCAAAAGATAATCGGGCTGATTTTGGGCCGATTTTCCCCCTTCCGACAATCCTAGCTATGTCCCGATTATCTTGATGGTTCTACAGATTATTTTATCAGATTTTCCCTTGGTGTGAGGTGTGTTAAGAGTGTCCGAACCTGCTCGGAAGAACGTCGGAGGCGCCCCGATCGCGAATCGTAAATATTCAACATGTTGAATATTTACGATCAGAAATCCTGATGTGTGGGGGGAACCCCGATGACAAACGTGCGCACGCTCTGGAGATTATCACGTGAAACGAAACAATATCCAATCAGAAAGCGAGATGATGGAAGATGGAAGCATAATAAAGTGGCCGGTGAACATAATGCTCGTTATGGCGTTGCAAAAAGTTAAATTGATGTGGACAGCAGAGATGGAGGATCAGCTTGTTGATTTGTGGCAACAGCACGAATGTTTTTCTGTGAAAATCATTCCAAACACTATCATCGCAATTTCTTCCTGCATATTGTCCGCCAAGCTTATTCTGAAGTCTCGCGAGATTTTGTGAGATTTCCTTTGTTCACAGTCGAGACTCTGGTTGAAAATCTGTTTGTGTGTGGTGTGCTGTCTTTGTCACATCATGGCACACCACACACTATAGGAGCAAAACGCTTAAATCTAGGATTTTTTGTCCTCATGTTTGTGGTCTATCACATTTTGAAAATCTTATAAGATGTAAAAAATCTTTTGGTGTATACCCAGCATTAGGCTGGCCACAATAAAAGGCCACTCTAAAATTGGCAGTTTTATCACACAGCACAATGCCACAGATGTCGCAAGTTTTAAGGGAGCATGCAATTGGCATGCTGACTGCAGGAATGTCCACCAGAGCTGTTGAAAGTGAATTGAATGTTCATTTCTCTACCATAAGCCGTCTCCAAAGGCATTTCAGAGAATTTGGCAGTACATCCATCTGGTCACAGTCATCGTCTGCACCATCCTGTCTTCGTCTTCACTACACTTCCCAGAATCCCTCGTGTCTCCACAGCTGTACTCACTCCCTCATTACCCACCTGTTCATCGTCATCATCATCTGTGTCACCTGTCCTCACCTCGTTAGTGTTCATTTGTATCTGTATTTAGTTTCCCTCTGGTCAGTCAGTCCTTGTTGGTTCTCGTTTATGTAACTTTGTTCATATTTGTGTTTAGAGTGTGGTTGTGTGTTATCCTGCCTGCCTGTATGTACCTGTGAGTAAACTTTAAGTAAATCGTTTGTATTGGAGCCTTTGGACTTTGAGTCTTCTTCAACCCACACCACACCGTGACACAACCGGCCTTACAAACGCAGACCACGTGTAACCACACCAGCCCAGGACCTCCACATCCAGCATCTTGACCTCCAAGATCGTGCTGCAACAATTGGTTGGCATAACCAAAGAATATCTGCACAAACTGTCAGAAACCGTCTCAGGGAAGCTCATCTGCATGCTCGTTGTCCTCATCGGCAGTGGCGCAAAAAGTATGCGACTATCCGCTATATGCGGCGCATTGGGGCACCAAAGCGATGGTTAAAAAATAATAATAATTCTAATTTATATAAGTTAAATATAAAAAAGTTATATACATTTTAGAGGACTAACAGGCTAGCGTAGGCGCCGGTGCCCTCATAAGATTCCATCATAGAATTTATTTTGGCATAGAAGGGTAATATCGTGAGTGGGGGGGTGCGCCGTGAGCACTGAGTGAGCAGCAGTAGTGAGATGTCGTTGAAACTCGAAAAAGATGGATAAAGCAAAAAAGCTGTCGGGGGCTAAAAATAGAAAAATAAAGAGGGAAAAGGAGATGGCATGTCAAGGGATGCGACAGCAGCTAAATAAGTGAATGGTGAAAGGCAACAGGTAGGATTTAAAGTTTGACGTCTGTGCTTGGAGGCTTGCAACTATTCATGTTAACAGACTAGCTAGCGTTTGCTAACACTGGGAATGTAGCAGCCAGAATATGTAGCTAGCTAGCTTAGAATATGCAAAACCGAGGTTGCTGAGCTGAAAACTGAAAAATATAAGGTAGCGTACAATAAATGACTAGAATCCGGAAAACAACTAATGCAATATCTCTGGTTTACCATGGGATCATGCATAGATTTGCTACCAAACTTGGAGGCTTGCAAATATTAATGTTGTTAACAGACTGGCAAGTGTTTGCTAACTTAATGCAAAATAATATTGCTGATATCTACATTTAGATTTTCGTTAAACCCTATGGTACCAATCCCATGCATGACATATCTCAATTTTATTAAAGTAAAATAACAACTGGTAAATATAAGGTAGCATGCACAATAAATGACTAGAAGCTGGAAAACATTACTTATGCCATAAGGCTGGTTTATCATGGAAACAAATAGATTTTGTTTTACCATTAGCTGTTCATGTTAGCTGTTCTGTCAGACATACAGGCTAGTTACATCTGCTGGGTGACATGGAAGCTGTAATTAGGGTCACATCTCTCTCTCTCTTTAAAGATCTGTGCTATATATATACGTATATACATATGTATGTATGTGTGTGTGTGCCATATTTGTACTTTTTAAAATCCAAAATGTTAATGTAATTTCAACAGCAGCACAACCTTACTGCATAATAGTTGTCTTATATGATGCCATCACTAGGCTGATTTAAGAATTGAATTTAGGCTGCTATATTTAACAGTGAGTTCATTTCATTCAGGTGTGAGTATGGTGGATCAGGGAAGGCAACAGGTAGGCCTAACATTAGGTGGAAGTGTAGAGGGAGCCGCTTGATACCAACAGATTAATTTCTTAATATTATTAATATGGAAAAAGTAATATGGAAAATCTATTACATAATGTTTGTTTGACAATGTCTTAGTGGAGAAGAACACAGGCAAGGGGTAAAAGAGACAGACATGAAGTCGGCGATGGCATAAAGTAAAGTTGAGACCAGTGATGACATCAGGTAGGAGTTATATTAGTTAGACCAGGGGTTCTTAACCTTTTTGATGTCGGGACCCACATTTTACAGTACAAAGTGGCCCAGGGCCCATTCAAATATTAGCACTGTATTGGTTTATTGATCTCACCCTTGGTTTGATTTGTATTCAATAACTAAATGAAATCCACTTGCAGTTTAACAGTTTATTATTCATGTGTATGTAAACCTGCACATACAACAAGATGCCAAACACACAACAATTCATGGAACAAATCAATATGCATCAAGAACAAATTTAAAGGCTCAAGTCAGGCATATTAACAAAATATTGACAAATTTTACTTACAAAAAAATAGAAAATGTATATAAATAAAAATAAATTAAATAAAACCAATAAAATGTGTTGCTAAAATAAATAAATTCAAAATAATATTTTTCAAATTAAATAAATAAGTTGTAAATGAAAATTGAAATAAAGTCCAAATGAAAAAATATAGCTTTATAATCTGCAAAATAATTTGATGTTACAGCAGTCTACATTTTTGCATGGCAGAACCTGAAGTTGCTCTTCATATCTGTTATAAATGAACAATAACAGTCACAACAGTCCAATTTGAACAAGCTACAACTCCCTATTTATGTTCCCCTCTTAATGAGACACTTGGGCCTGCTTCACAGACATGATCAGATCCAGCCTGGGTGGAATGAGAGAAAGGCTCACTCTCAGAGTAGCCTCCAGTGTTGCTTCGAGTCTGTTTCAGGCCTTGGTCTTAGTTGTGGCCACAATGGAGAATCCTGATTCACACAGGTATGTAGTTGTGAATGCGAGGAGTAGTTTCACCAACCCTCAGTGCTAGACATGGGTACTCTTTTGAGAGAGCAATCCAGAAGGAGCCCAGATACAGTTTGCCCCACTGCAATTTTAAAGTACTGTCAGTGGCTACTTCCAGAAGCTGGGATTCCAGATGTGAGGGCAAAGCAACATCATTTTTAGTGGGATCCACAGAAAATGGGTCCATAATGCATATACCTAATGACATTCTTCCAGCAGTGTTCTCTCCAAGACAAAGAATTAGTCGAGGACCACTGCAATCTCCAAATTTCTTCCCAGCTATCTTCTGAAATAGCAACTACTGCTTCTTTTTCCCATTTTTGTTTTATATACCATGTGTTATCTTTATCAGTCATGGATATAGCGGTACAAACCCTAGAGATTAATTTTTGTGTCCTCGATCCATATGCTGATTTCAAAATTGTATAAAACTCCGTCTCGGCTGCAGAGAACTCTGTAAATTTACATCTTGCAGTAAAGTTGTGGCGTATGCAATTTTAATTTTAATATTTAAAAGTATAACATCGTTTTTACCATCATTGCATATTTATTGAACATTGTTTTATTTAAAGCATTATTTATTTTATAAAGGTAAAATATTAACTGGAAAAATCGATTAAAGGGGGCAAATATGGTCCCTTAATGGAAAAGGTGTGACTGCAGTCTAAGTGGAAGAGAAGGGGGTACGGCACAAAATTGGAGAACACTGAACTAAGGAAAAGGGATATGTAGAATTGCACAAGTGCTACTGCTAAAGATTGCAATGCCAATACAACCTGTTACCTTAATTTAAATTTCTCATAAGCTTAATTGAATTAGCCTAGAGAGAAAAATTATAATGACATTTTTTGTCTAAAGACTACATATAAATAGCTACCAAAATGAATGTCGGTAACTGCAGTTTGACTAAAAGTAATGACTAAAAGTTGACAAAAAATGCAATGACTTTTCGTCAACGAAAACTAGACTAAAACTATGAAAGACAAAATGACTGAAATGTGACTAAGACCAATAAGCATTTTCGTCTGAAGATGAAGACTAAGATTAAATAAAAAATGGCTGCCAAAATTAAGGCTTCAGTGCTTCATTGGATAGCATTAGCCCACACAGAGATGGAAAGCCACTCACCACTGAGGAGGAATTGGAGGAGAATGTGTAAAAGGGAGGTGAAGATGAGGTGGACCGTGGAAGAGAATGTGGAACAGAGAGGTGAAGAGGAGAGGGAGGTGGAAATGGAACAGAGAGGTGAAGAGGAGAGGGCTGAAACAAGGCATTACTCAGAAGATCCATCTGACTGGCCACCACCACACCAGATTGGGGACTCATTTAGGCAGTGTATGGTTGAGAATGTCCCACAGAAACATCCAAGATCCGTATCCAAGATCAGACATAAGTAGAAGGTGTTTTTCCAAAGCATACTGTTTTCGTTCACTGTCCAATGGAGAAAAAGTGCAGCGGGATTGGTTACTGTACTCCAAAAGC